TGTCTCCAAACCCAAAGAGTGAGGGGGGAAAAACAGTCCTCAGGGAATGTGGTCAATGAATCAGATTGATACAAATCCAGTATGAGAAATATTATGGAAGATGAAGATCCAACAAGAATTTTTTAGGGCAGTGCACATCATAGCACACAAATATTTCTCCATAATACTTTCTCTTTGTGATATATTAGAGCCATGGCAAAAATTTGCATAACAAGCCTCATGAACTTGATGTCTCAAAAACAAAAATAATCTTTCAGCTTTGACATCAAATGAAAATGTCCAATTTAACACTTTATTTTTTTCATGGTGGTTTATCCAAAATAGTTGTCTTAACTAAAATGTGTGTAGAAAAATTCAAGAAAACGTATCTTTAAATATTATGGTGCTTCCCATGTTGATGAAGGGCACCAGAGATGGATGTGTCTCTTAGGTAACCAGTTAGAACACGTTCTCAAACTCCAAAATGCCTCTTAGATACCTAATTTATTCCCTCCAGGAAAGCCCAACTCTAAGACTGTCTATTAAGACTCCAAAACATTTGGTTGAAAAATGAAAAATGTGGTGAGTGAAACTGCTGGACTGGCAACCAGTTTGTCAGATAATTTTTTATTCCCTGCTGAAATAAGTAAATTAACCAGTTGTCCTGCTATCAACAATTAAAAAAGATATCATGAAAGTTTGTTTCAAGATCAATATATAATGTATTTATGTTTACATAAACATATATGGTTAATTAGATGCAAAATCATCTGGTAATCACTTTCTCAAATAACTCTTTTCATACATTGCATTTCAACTTCGAAGTTTGAACAGGTAGCGCCTATATATGCATTAGTAAATTTAAATATAACGTTGAATTCATTCTACTTAAGAGCAAAACTAATGGTATCAAAAGATAACATTCAAAAATGAATAATGAAAGGTATAATTCCAAGTAGGATTTTTTTTTAAGTGCTCTTAGAGAGACCTGGGTTTTTAATAAAGCAGCAGAGATCTGAATAGAAGTATTTTTAAATGAGCATACACATCGACTGAAAACCATACATTTTTGTCTGTACAAACAGGGTTTTACTTCATTGATCATGGACAATTATCAGCTAAAGAACTGTGTATTTCCCCTCTTTCACACCCCTCTGAAGAACAATAACCCCCAATTAATGACACAACAGTTTGGTTTGAAAAATGTGATGTTGTCATATACAGCGTTGTGCATTTACTGAGTGACACTGCTACCAGCTACTCAACAGAATATAATTACATCTGGAATCTAAAACCACTTCAATATGCACAAAATACTGTAGACATAAGGAACTTTATACAAAAAAATCTGACACATAATGAGAAAGCAAAGCAAAAAAAATGCTCGTATAAGTCGCTCACCAATGTGTTCCTTATTTCTGTTGAAGCTGGTACCTTTCTGTATTTCTCCTTAGTTGAAAGCAAGGTCCAATTAGCCTCCTTAGAATATATTAATTGGTTCTGAATCTCCTCCAAGTTTTCATTCCACCGTGGAGCCCTCCTCACCTATCTTCAATAGTCCACCTAAAATTCTTCCAGCATCTTCCCTCATCCTCAAGATGGCTACCTTACCTAATGGAAAAGCAACATCTTCATGATTGACTTTTATAAATTCCTGAGGCATTTCAGGGTTTAGCTCTACTTGGGTCAGTTACGCACATTCTCTAGAATGAATCTGTGAAGAGCTCCAATCAATGTGTGTGGACTAGGGTAGGACTGGGTCCTTTTTTTCAAATCATCCTCACAAAAATGTCTTCCTCCAAGATTAATAAATTCCTCCCAATTAAAAAGGTAAAGGTACCTGGACATAGGTTCTCTCAATTGAGATAATATTTAAAAAATTTTTTTTCCACAGTGACAGTGTTAAGAAGACCTACTGATATTTCTGAAGACTTACAGTACTTCAGAACACAGAAAAAAAAATAACTGAAGGAAAGGGGGAAACAAAGGAACTAAAAGAAGGCCTAACGTACAAATGGAACAACCTGAAGAGAAATGTAGAGCCTGGAGAAACTGGTGTTAGTCAGTCAGTCTTAGAGTTCCTCTGAGATCTTGTAGGATTATTATTACTATTATTATCATTGTTTGCAGAAATCAACCCAACCAGACAATAAAGTCTTGCAATGCATCAAAACATGACGATAACCAAGCCCCAGAACTCAAAAATCTCAGCTTAGGGCCACCACCATCTTCACAATGAGGAAATAACATTTCCTGGTGACTTTCAGGAGACCTGGAACAGCTTAAAGTTGTGTGAAGACCTCAGGAGAAATGTTTAAGGTTTTGCATTGCCTTTCCTGAAAGAGGTCAAAACCCTTCAGTCCACTCAAAAGGAGAAAAAAAATTCCAAAAGTTTACTTTAAAATGGAAACAAACGCCTCAATAACTTGTGAAAGTACTCCTTTGGTGGGAGAAAAATCTGAGGAACCCTTAAAAGCCCTCATTTCCTTGCATAATGAATAGACAGTGAGGAACCACCACAAGGTTTCCCTTTGGAAAGGGAGAAGGAGTAGCAAGCAAGCCTCCTCCTCCAGCCATCACCAACAGAGCTTCAAAATGGAGACATCCATAATTTTATAAACACTTCTCATCTCAGCTTTGTCTCCTGGAAACCCGCTCTCCTCCATTTTCTGGTGGAGTTACAACATGACACGGCTTACCTGACTCAGTTCCCAGCTCTCAACCAAACTAGTCACTTCCTCCAAAAACCTGCAAGCAACCTCCAGAAACAAAACCAAAGCAAACCAAACAGCCAACACAGACACTCAGACACAGCCCCCGGGAGCACCAGGAGCCCCAACTGGTTGGTCTTTCCCCATCCCAGACGCGTGCTTAAAAATGAAACTTTTTTTTTTTTTTTTTTGGTTGGGGAGGAATATAAAAGGAACTCCAGGCAGCCTCCCTCCCTCCCTCTCTGTAGGTTAGAAGCTACAATGAAAAGAAAATGAGAGTTCCTTCAGGAATGGTGAACAGCCTGGAGAATGAACGTGAGAAGGAGCTTTGTGTTTTGGAGTCTGGACTGGAACCAAAGCAGACAGCTTGCAAATGGAGGACAGGGAGATAAAGAAAGGGAAAGAGGGGTTGCTCCAATGGGGGGCGGCTGCGGCTTCCCCTCGTGCCTGGAAGGAGGGCAGACCCCTGGGAACTGCACCAGGAGTGAGACGCCCCCCCAGGCCCCTGCCTTCCTTTCTCCCTCCCTCAGAGGAGAGCCAAGCGTGTGTAATGGCTTCTCCTCTCCAGAAACCGTTGTCCTCTTCCACTAGACGCTTCTGAACCCCCAGCCTGGAGACAGCTCCTCAGCTGCTCCTGAACCTGCGCCCCCCACCCGGCCGGTGCCCCCCGCTCCTCGCCTCTGTCCTCACGAGCAGCACCAGCACCAGCCGCTGCAGCAGCCACCCCCGACACATCCCGACCCCGCATCCCAACTTCGGGGAGAGAGAGGGAGAGAGAGAGGGAGAGAGAGAGCCAAATACCTGAGGAAGAGGGGGGTGCCAATCCGCACGGCTTTGCCATCGGGCGGGGGACAGGCAGACAGAGGGGGGAAAGGAAGGAGAGGGACAGAGAAAGAAAGAGGTCACCCGCTCAGGTCGGGGCCGCTCGCTCGGAGCGCTCCCTCCGCTGACCCTCGCTCGCTCCCTCTGGCTCTCGGCTTAGGTCTCCTGCCTCCCGCCCTCCGCCCCCCTCTCTGTCCCTACTCCTGTCCCCACACTCGGAGCATCCGTCCTAAGCCTCCAGCTCTCTTCTCACTCATCTTTCATTTTCTCTTCTCTTCACAGAACTACACGAAATCAATTAAGCCACAGCGCTCCGCTCCCCCCAGCAGAAGGAGCAGCCAGCAGGAAAAGCACAGCCACCTCCACTGCCACCACCACCACCTTCTCCTCCTCTTCCTCCTCCTCCTCTTCCTCCCTCGCTTCTCCTCCTCCTCTTCCTCCTCCCCCTCCTGCTCTCCCTCCTCCCCCTCCTCCTCCTCCTTCTCCTCTTCTCTCTTGCTTCTTCTCCTCTCCCAACAGCCAGTCCATGCAGGGGACTTCCTCTCCTCCCGGTTTCTCCAACCCTCCTTGGCCGAATGAATGAGCGCGTTTGTGCCTCCACCGCCCCGCGCTCGACTCCCCGGAGCACTCGGACCACCCCGAGGTGGCTGTTAATTGCAGTAACTTACAGAAGAAGCGTCCCGGCGCCGGGAGGTGCTTCGGGTTCTCCAGCCCCACCGCCTCCTTATCCTCTTTCTCTTTCTCCTCTTCCTGCTCGGGTTATTGTTGTGGAAGTTGTTTGGGAGTCTCATGTGCTTCTGCCGGGTCTCAGCAATGGAGGATCGCCATCTTCCCTGCCTTCCTCAGCTCCTCAGACTCGCTGCAGCTGCAGATGACCTGAGATATCCGTCTCTCTCCCTCTCCCTCCCTCCCTCTCCCTCTCACTCTCTCTCCTCTTCTCTCTCCTCTCCTCCCTCTCCCTCGCGCGCTCTCTCTCTCTCTCCCTCCCTCTGTGTCTCTCTCTGAATAATGAGCAACCAGAGGGAGAGAGAAAGCAAGACAGAAAGAGAGAAGGAAGACAATCTTCTCCTGCCACACAAAACGCCGGAGCACCAGGGGGTGCGCGAAGCCTTTCTAATAACAACAACAACGTGCAGGAGAGAGGAAGAAAAAAAAAAAAAGAAAGAAAGAAAGGAGGAAAGGGCTAGAGGAAAAAAAGGGAAGGATTATCCAAGAGCTGGAGAACAGCAGAAGGAGAAGCTGGAGGAGATGCTGAGGCTGAGGCTGCTGTCCCCCCTCCCCCCCGCCGAACCCCAGAAGGAGGCAAGGTGGTTGCAAAGTTAAGGCTGGGACATTGTCTTTGTCACTCAGAGCAACACGGAGCCAGGCCAGTGAGATGCAAGAGGAGGAGGTGGCGGCGGCGGAGGAGGAGGAGGTGGTGGTGGAGGAGGAGGAGGAAGAGGAGGAGAAGGAGGCAAAGGAGGAGGAGAAGGGGAAGAGGGAGATGAGATGAATAAAGACTTGCGGAGAAGGCGGTGCGAGGAGCGCGGCCGCCGGGCCGAGGCGTGCGCGCTCGCGTCCCGGTGGCGCCCGGCAGCCCTGGCCGACAGAGGAAGCCCCCCGTGAGGACCCTGCCCGGCAGCTCATAGCGCTCCCACCATCAGCCCTGCCCGAGGCGCCGAGCCCGGGCCCCAGAGGGTCCCTCACATGCATCCATCTAGAGGCCAATCTTTGCAAAGAACATACATGGGGAACTGGAGGTTGCAAGTCTAAACCCAGATCAACCACGTGGGGCTTTTTAATCCCTTTCCAGCTTGCGGTGTGAGTATCTCTAGTGAAAAGCTCAAATTGTCCATTACTGGCACGTATTTTGAAGTCTTCTCCCCCTGAAATAAAGGCTCATTGTGCGTTTTATTTCTTTTCTGATATGGAACGGGGGGGCTTGGGGGAGGGAGAGAACCCATCATTCCGAGCCTCGGAACCACCACTTTCTTTTCCTAACTTGTGAAATGTTTTGACGGCGCACCAAAAGAAAAAAAAAAGCCCACTTAAATAACTTTACACCCTCCAGCCCCGCGTTGTTTGCACTTTCTGGCTGATCATCTGAAGGCTCGGAAAGTAACAATCAGCGCTCCTAATGATAAGGTGTCGTGGTGTTGAAGACAAGAGAGCCAAAGATGAAGCTTTCACACCTTGAATTTTTATTTAGTGTAATTTTCCCCAAATAGTTCTGAACTATCTATTTTGCAAAGAAGTAGGCTTCCCCCCTCCACCAGGTCGAAAGTGTCCTAAGGCTTTAATTTGATTGGGGAGGGGGCGTCTAAAGTATCAAAAAAATCAATGCAGCGAGTCAGGAGCAATTGAAGTTCAAGGGCATGGGCTGGTTGTACTATTTCTATTTCTCGGATCCTTGAGTTGGACATCAACAGCCTCGGGAGAGAGAAACGCGCAGCGCGCGGGGCAGAGACCTTAATTAAAGTTTCTTTTGTCCGCGTCTGAATTGGGGGATGTTGCTGGATTCCTTTGCATTGAGGAGCGCGCATCCGGTGAAGGCGCGGTGTTGAGGATCCCGGGCAAGACTGTCCTCTTTAATACTCGACCCTTCCCCTTCCTCCCCCTAAACAACGGTCCGGGAAGATCGACCCATAAATCCATACAATAAAGGGGGAGAAGGGGAGACGCGCGCGGAGTTGGTTCCCATCCGCTAGCGGGATTTCATAAACAGATCTAAAGCCTCATTTTCCGAGATTTTCCTGACCGTATATTCCTGGGCAGAAATCTCTCACCCTGAGGCACGATTTCAGCCCCCCTTTCAGTCAACACTTCCTGCCCTTTTCTCCTCCCACTCACATTGAAAAGCTCGGGAGCCCTAAAAGGGTGTTGATGGCGGGGGTGATAAATAAATAAATAAATGACACTCTACGCGTGCGGCGGCGAAGAAAGGAGGCGGAGGGAGAGGGAAGGCGAGGAGAGGGATGAGAAAAAGTAGGGAGCGGAGAACCAGGAAGAGAAAAGGCAGAGGCGAAAGGGAAACAGGAGTCAAAGAGAAAGAAGAAAGGAGAGAGGAAGACGGTGAGGCTGCTCCGGACCGAAGCGATCCTGGCTTTGTGCGGAATTGCGAAGACTCCCCCGTTCCGAGGGCCCGGAGGGACCTGGGGAAGTCCTTGTGCCCCGAGCTCCTCCCTACGGGGACCCCGGGGGTGTCCGAGCTCTGGCCGCCGCTCCCCCATAAATTCCTCGTGGCAACCGGAGGAAGCGCGCCAGGTCTCCGCCGTCCCTTCAGTGTCCCGGCTGATAATTTACCTCTTTGTCTTTTAATAAAAAGCTGACTTTTTCTGTCAAGCTCTGCACCGGGAAAATAACAATCGTCTTTCAGGTTGAAGGCTCCTATGACTGCTGGGTTTTGGAGGCTGCGATAAAAGTCTTCATCGACGTGAAGGTACCTTCTGGGTTGGCTTGGGTCGGAAGTGCTAAGATGGGGGCCGTCCTTCGCCCGGGGGCAGGGGCGCAGGGAGCCAGGCGGTGCGGAGGGAGGAAGGAGCGACGAGGTCAGCGGAAACCTGGGGCTTCCAAGGCTCCTGGGGCACCACAGGGCTTCCCGCAGTCGGGGAATGAGCCCCGGGGAGGAGCCTTTTGCGAGAACGTGAGCGCGCCCCAACACGCCTCAGACCTCATAAACCCACTTGGCAAAGCCCGGGGAGCGGCTGGCGGAACGACTGCGGTGAACTCAAGAAATTAACCTGCGCTACAATTAAACGGGCGGCTGCCCTTTCGGACTCACCTCGAGCGACCGAGATAGAGAGAGCTCCCGAACCCGCCGCGGGGGGACCTGGCTCCACCCTCCCGTCCCAGGAGAAGAGGACAAAAAGGGGAGATGGACTTGGAGATGGCCCCGCCCTTCAAACGCTCCAATCCTTGGAAACCAAACCTCCTCTCCAAGCCTCCACGTCTGGAAGGGACAAAGGCAGCGAGGAGATCCAGAGACTGATGGGGAGGTGGTGGCTTTCGGGCTGCAGATGGGGGCGCGTTGGGGGAAAGGTACAATGGCTAAGTTTCCATCCGAAATACTGCATCACGGGATGGTCTTTAGAAGAGACACCCGGTCTTCTGGTTTAGAAGCAAACTGACTTCCTGAAGCTGTGAGCTGTTGCCAAACTCCCGCATAGACCTGTTTTTTGAACGTGGGAAGGCTAAAATTTCAATTAATGATGCCACACACATAATCTTTTCGACTTTTTAGAAGTCACAAGTGCCTTAACTTTGCAACTAAGATAGCTGGAAGAGATTAAACATAAGAGGAGCGGGCTTTTTGCATTTTGCTTGTTTGTTTTTATTGGAGGCAGTTTTTTAAATGATAGAAAAGCAACTGGATAAATAAAAGCCGGGTCAGTCAAGGAAAGCGCTGTGGCTGAAGGTTTTAGAAAACCTTAATAAACTTGGCACTTAAGTAACTGTAATTATGCTTTGCCATTAGCGAACCATTAAGATAAACAGGAGAAAGTTCACACCTCCTGCTATTTCATTCCCTAAGACTATCCACAAAGATAATACAAGCCTAGTTGGTGGGTTATCTTCTCCATCAGGAGGGTTAATGTTGAAATTTTTTAATTAAAATGGAAAAGCTTAGGTTTTATACACAGCCAACAATGTGAGGGCAGTCTCATGGGGGCATACTGGCTTCCTGAAATTTACCTTTTGTTACCTTACCCTATGTGATTATCCCCTGGAGTCATGAGGTTTCAAGAATTTATTAATATTCCAGGGAATATGAATATGTTGGAAGTCTGGACTTTCTTCTCCTTTATCATGGGTGACTGGCATACAGACTCCTCATAAAGAGAAATTATGGTTCATCAAAAGAGTGACTTTATGAGCATTAATAGAGTAATAAATCTTGCACTTTTAGTTCAAGAAACAGTGAAGTCCTATAATCAGAGTGACCCATGCAAATACAATATTACTTGCCCAATTCTAGCAGGATAGAGATCGTCTATAAATCATTTTAGTTTTTAAAGATTTAAAAAAGGAAGATGCCCAAATTTCTCAAAGGAAAGTGTTTATGGGGGTAAACGGGACTTCTAGCAAACCTACAGGAAGGAATAAAAAAAAGTTGAGAAGAGTTAGTAGACAGGCTATATAAAAAAGATAGAATTTCAACTGAAACGAGTGTATAGATGTTCTAATGTCATTGTTTCAATATTTATGTTCTATCATATAAAAAAAGAAAAGTCTTCCTGCTTCCTGAATACTGTACCAAAAAAAAAGAAAATCCAGTTGGTAGTCCTACTTTCTAAATTCCAGCTGGAAAACTGTTCAAGCTGATGATTTTAGCAAAACAAAGAGTAGGTGACTAGAGAGTATGACTTTTTCAGAAGTCTTAATTATTCCATTCTTAAACATTTAACCATATTGTTACACACCTCTTAACTTGGTGGTATTTCCCTGCCTATGTAAAACTCTTTTTCTATGCAATTCAGTGTAGTCTTTTTACTAATTGAGTTTGTGGTTTTCAATGGGTTATTTAATTTGAATTCTTGAGATCTTTACTCTTGTTGGAAATTACAGAAGTTTTTCTGAAAACTTCAAATTGGGTAATTAGGGATCCTCCAAATATCAAGAAAGTGAAGTCACTAGCACACCTTCTTTCTGATCTCTTACAGAAAAATGCATATATTTTTACAAACCCATATTTAAACATATGTAACCAGTGGTCTGCTGTCCATGCCTAAGAAAAAGTGAAAAATAGAAGACAAACCAAAAAGGTGGATGACTCATGACTCTGAACAGTTCTCAAAGGAAGACACATTGCAATAACTTATATTAAACTTACTTTGTATGAATCTTTGTATATATACCTTTGGATATCAAAGATGTTTCAGTAGTGATATTCTAAAATTCAAAAGAAAGTCTTTCTCTCATAGGTAGAAGTTAAATTTACAGTTCTCTCAAACTAGTTATTGGAATATGAAACATGTAATATCATTTAACCATTGAATATTTGTTTAGCATCTACAGTATACCATACTCAGAGCTGAATACTAGGGATACAAAGATGAGTAAAAGAGGATGAGTCAAATGTATGATGCACGAGCTACTTCGTGAACCACTAGCTTCAAAATTGCATTACTTGGTTATAGAACTTCAGATTTTTTGACTTACTCAAAAGCAATACTGGAATTTGGCCAATCAGGAGACTATAATTAATTTGAACATTTCTATTCCTACAGTGGAGCTATTAAGGAGTAATATTTTGTTAAAACAAAATTTTCATTTTAACATTTTAAAGCCAATGTCTTGGCTTAACTCATGATTTAACATAAAATTCTTACTCAGCAATCTTTTTTAAAAGGAAAGAGAGCAAGCTTAGATCAACTATGGTTAGATTAACCAAAATTCGGAAGACAAGACTCAAGTGAAAGATCGCCCATTTGTTGAGGCATCCGTTCCAGCAGAAAGACTATTTCCAGATTCTTACAACTTATACTCAAATGGAGACCTAAAGAAAGGAAGGGACTTGTTCAGGAACACAGAGCTAATGAGGGACAGTCACATCTGGAATCTATACTTCCATGGCAGTTTCTCCAAAGTTAACATTCTCATACTACCTTCAAGATATCTTTTCATATGTTTCCATACTACTTGTACTGTTACTCACACATAATATGCATTTTTTTAAAATCAACTTTTAAAAAAATTTAGCTTCATCATAAGCAATAATATTCATGAATCACAGGTCTGATGGGCTATTTATATATACATTTTTCAATGTGCATCAAGATAAATATATTATTAAAAGAAATATTTTTGGATAAAAACACAGTCTGTTTATATACATGCCAGACTGTTAGTGGTAAAGAGTAAGAGAGGTGGAGACGAAAATATCAGAATTTTGTGTGTGTGTGTGTGTATACAAAAATGAATCAGTTTTATAATTTAAAAAATTAAGAGAAAAATTATGTGATTTTGTGGCTAGTATACCTCCAAATTAAGCCATCTCATTATATATTTTTATTGGGAATTAAAAATTAGCACAAGGCTTTTGGCTCAATTTAACAAT